CTGTTTTATCAGCCCTACTAGTGATAGAGTGTGGCTCTTTTGGAAACAACAGAAAGAGCTCTATGGGTTTTTTTTGTTATTGCTTAATGTCTAAGTTGTAAATATTACCTGGCCTTAAACTGTATTTTGGTTTTGGAGTGGTAGAGTGTCTGCACTAAATTGTAGTTACTGTCAATCACATCTCTTCAGGATGTTATTGGAACTGGCCCTGGAATATCTTCCAACATAAACAAAAATAAATTTTCTCTTGAGATGAAATATCTTTGTGTAACATAGGTAAAGCGTTCTGTATTCTTCAGACAATCTCTAAAAGATGAGCTACTCTGTCATTGATGAGTCAACAAAGAAGGAGGATGCTTTATACTTTAATTAAATGGAATCTGTAATAGAAACAGGAGACAACTAACTCTTAGAACAGTCCGCAGAGAGCTCCAAATAATAAGCATCCTACTTGAACGGAGATGATGATAGCTGAAAATGCATTAAGTAGACAGAGAAACAAAAACAAATGAAGGTGAGAACTCAGTCAAGCAGACTGAAGTGGAGTAAACACTTTGTCAGGAGGGTAGCCCGTGTTAGTGCTAATGCATTTGGCATTAGTATGATGCCTGTAAAATACTGACTCCTGGCATCAAAGTTAATGACAAAAATCTACAAGAGTTTTACCTTATATACACATGCAAGAACAATAATACCATAAGAAAGATTCTTATCTGTTAGGGCTTTTTTTTAAAAAAAAAAAAAATTATACTGCAGCATGTGAAAGAGCTGGTAACAAATGGTAAGTGACAATTCTTACATAAATGTGTTATGGTTCGAAGCTGGGTTTTGATTGATAATTGATGAAACAAATCAAAATCAGACAGTACCAGAAACACACACCAAATCAAGTTGTTATTTTTACAATGCTGTTCAGAGGACCAGATTAATCAGACTAAACTTCTAATAAGAGGATTACATATATATGTGTCAATATTAGGAGGATTTGTATCTTCATTAGCAACTTCAGAGGAAGTAATACCTTCCTGTATGCTACTGACTAAAATGGAATACTTTCTGTGACTGGTTGAGGTTCATAATATACATTTTAGCCCTGGAGGGTTATACAGAAGACAATGGTTAAGCATCTCAAATAATTTGCCACTATTGCTGTCATCTTGTCCCAAGCCTGTGTTTGTTGGCAGTCAGGAACCAGCCAGTACTTGCTGCAAGGTGAGGACGAAGGGCCTGTATTCGATGCTGTGAAGGTGAGGGGAGGGCTGCTGACTGCTGAAACAGCAGAAATCTGCTCCTCAGTGGAGCTTCTGTAACTGGACTGTAGAGTCAGAATCCCTAGCAGTGGTGTAATCTGGCCTTGAACCCGTTTTCCCTGGCTGTCTTTCCTGTGTGGCACGGAGTTGATACATGAGTGCTCGTGCCAGCCACATGCCAGCTTTGTAAGGACAAAAGGCCAGTGAGAATGTGACTTGAGAAGTTGTCAGGGTGCTCCTGCATCCTGGTCTCATGCATTTGAAGCCTTTTGAGGGTACCTGGTAAATTAGAAAAGCTTTGAAACAATTGCAGGCAGCATGGAAATTGAGCCAATAACAAGGTTAGAGGAATAAAAAAAGGCTTCTCTTCTCCAGGCTGAACAGCCCGAACTCTCAGCCTGTCTTCATAGCAGAGGTGTTTCAGCCCTCGGATCATCTTCGTCGCCCTCCTCTGGACTCACTCCAGCTGCTCCATGTCCTTCTGGTGTTGGGACTCCAGAGCTGAACGCAGTACTGCAGGTGGGGTCTCACAAGGGCAGAGTAGAGGGGCGGAATCACCTCCCTGGACCTGCTGGCCACGCTCCTTTTGATGCAGCCCAGAATACGGTTGGCTTTCTGGGCTGCCAGCGCACATTGCCGGCTCACGTTGAGCTTCTTATCTACCAGCACTCCCAAGTCCTTTTCCTCAGGGTTGCTCTCAATCCATTCTTTGCCCAGCCTGTACTTGTGCATGGATTGCCCCGACCCACGTGCAGGACCTTGCACTTGGCCTTGTTGAACTTCATGAGGTTCTTGCAAGCCCACCTCTCCAGCCTGTCAAGGTCCCTCTGGATGGCATCCCTTCCCTCCAGCGTGTCCATAACACCACACAACTTGGTATCATCAGCAAACTTGCTGAGGGTGCACTTGATCCCACTGTCCATCTTGCCAACAAAGATGTTAAATAGCACTGGCCCCAGTACTGATCCCTGAGGAACACCACTCGTCACTGGCGTCCACTTGGACATTGAACTGTTGACTGCAACTCTTTGAGTGCGGCCATCCAGCCAATAATCTCGAGGGTTATGTCTTTCTAAACTCTAAAAGAAGAGGGTTTGAGAACTCCTATATGTAAAGAACTACAGCTGATGCCAACTGAGCCATATGTAACAACTGACTGGATGACTTGGAGTTTCAGTAGCGTCTCACCAAACTTGAGCCTTGGCAGAGAGGTACAAACTTACTCTATTAAAATGCTCATGGCTGTTAAGCGTAGATCTTTCTGATCACGAGATTTTTGAGTCTCTAAAGACACGTTTGTGCCAACATTTACAGAGTATTATCACTTAGCACTGGTGTAGGTATTTCAGAAATTCTTGTTAAACAGCTTGAAATTATCTGCCTTTTATGTCCTTAATTAGAGGAGATTTTGAATTACTTGTTTTTGCACTGCTGAAGTAGATTGAATTCTTGTTTGGCTGGGATAAAGATGCATATTGCAACCCTCTACAAACTGTGGGTTTATGTCTCTATATAAAGCAAAAGAAATATTCCATCTTCCTTTCTTCCCATTTGAAATGCATTAGCCTTATATCTGTCCTCCACCCGTTTCCTTTCTCTGATGCTCTAGGTTTTTCACTTTCATGTGTGGATACTCACCAAGGTGCCTACCAAGTTCTTAGATGTATAGCTCAGTGGTTGGGCACTTCAGTTTGTGGATTTAGCAAAGGTTTGAAACCCTCATTTTTTATTTAATTGTTTATTTATTTATTTTAGGAATCAGCTTTTAATATTTGATTTTTATATTTGAAACAAGAAGGGTGTATTCATACGGTTTGGGTAGAGAAAGTATATCACACTGGGGCTGGAGAGAATAATTCCTCAGGGCTTTGGGCTTCGGCAGAAGAGTGCTTGGGCTCTTCATGTGATAAAAGAATGAAGCTGAATAGCAGCAATGTCTGTAGTTTCTTACCTAAAGAGAGACATGAGAAATTATTTCCTTTCTCACATTCAATTAGGTCATTGCTGTTGTCCCTCTCAGGTACTCAGCACACAGGCGTACTTGATCTTCTCTGTACTTAACAGTACTTCAGTCCTAAGTATGGAATAAAAATTACCGTTACCTAAACCGTTTGCTTACCACCAATCTTAAAATCTCCAGCAGCATCCTAGTATGTGTTGCTTTTAGTGCTTCTATTGTTTTCTTTTGCACTTGATATGACTGTTGTCCAGCTGGCTATTACTTGTGTCTGATGGTGAGGTATGCAGTAGGCTAGCTCTGTAATGTTTCCGTCCACCTTTCACTTTCTTTAACTTTTTCATGCTTTATTTCATCAAAACATTTCAAGTTCAGCTACTCTTTGTCCAGATGAGATCTTTTTTTTTTTTTTTTCAAAGGTGATGCATGAAGCTGTTGCTGGTGGCCCTCATGATGGTTGGTTTCTTGGTTTCTAGTTAAGAAGTCCATAAGAATGGCTGGGGGACTGAAATGGAGGGAGAAAATGAATAGTATATAGCTTTGAGAAGAGGCTATAGTATATACTGCTCTGAAACAATGCTAAAAACACTTGAAAGTTTTTGTAATAATTCTTTTCCATAGATGCCACAGGGCAGTTGTGTGGTTGTGAATGGGAAAGCAGGGATATTGATGAGTCTGCAAATGGGAGAGCTGGCTTAGAGTCACAGACTTCAATAACTGCCTGGGGGGTTAGCTGGTGAGCTCTAGTTTATTCCCATTAATTTTCAGAATAATTTTTGGAATGCTGTCAGAGCTTCTCTCTCCTGTGCTTGCACATAGACCATTTCTACAGGTTTCCCATTCTTGCATGTAAATAAAACTGAAAGTCCTGGTCATGGGCAGCCGTTAGTAATTGATGCTGCCAATCTTGCTCTATGGAGTAGTTACATCCAAGATACTGAAGTACTCACACAAGTAAAACTAATGAGATGAGTTTCAGGAGCATGAAGTTTTTCTCCTAAATAAGATGACTTAACAGGTCAAGATAAAGTACTACCTGCAGTACTAATAGGGTAGATCTTGCAGAAAAAATTGCCTTCCATGTAATGAAAAAGTAGTTTTAAGTGAATGTATTTGAATGTGTAGTTGAATGAGCTACTACTATTTGTGCGTATCTTCTGTTGATGGTTTAGATACAGAAACTAAAAAGATATTATGGATTTTTATTTCATCATTACAGGTGAAACCACGAACAAAGGAACTGCTACAAAATTGTATTTTTGTCTATTTCCTGTTGCTTTCGGTACTTAGAACGTAAGATTTTTATTCAGAGTTAGTCTTGGCTGAACTGAATGCAGGTCTACGTAGGATTTAATAATTAACCTGTGCATTTACGTTTAAAAATCTTGCTGCTGGAAAGCATCCTAATAGCTGTTCAAATTATTTGTGCTTTGAGTTGACTTAGTAGCTTAACCATGTCTTTTCTTTCCTTCTACGGATTATGCTTTATAGTGATTATTTTGTTTGAGGTTGTCAGAGAGATCATAACATTGTCAGGATGCAGAAGAGCCACAGTTTTAACTATCGAACACTGTTTGGGTAAAGCCGGCAGTGTGAGTGAGCACCCACATATACCTGTGTTAGTAAGGGCAAACAAGCATTCCTGAAGCAAGATATGAAGAAACAAAAACAATAATATGATCAGGACTTTACACTTTCTCTTTTCTAATTGTAATATTTTGAGATACGGTGCTTATGTATCATTCTATCATGGGTTTCCATGTTTCCATTTCTTATGGTTTGTTTTCTTTCAGCCTCTTGGGGCCGGTGACTATTTGGAGATATCAAAGCATTTTGACACGGTCTTTATTCGTGCCATACCACTTCTCACAATGGTAAAAAGGACACAAACTCGTCGATTCATTACTCTCATCGATACCTTTTATGAGCATAAGGTGAGAACCAAGCCTTTCCTATATGTATAGGAAAAATATTGGGAACGCTAAAACCTGACTGTTACAATTGGTTTGAAGTAAGGCTTTCTGTGGTAATGATTTGGAAAACATAAGCAGAATGAACTAGCATTGCAAAGAAACATCATTCCAGCTTCACGAAAAAGGGCACATAGCAATAAAGGCAGGGGTTTTTTTTGAATTCTGTGAGCGTTAAGTGTGACCATAAATATAAGCCTGACCTCATTTGCCTTTCTTGAATAGAGATGTTATTTCTTTCCTAACCCAGGAAAACCACAGAAGCCATGTCATCGTTTTAACAATGAGAGATTGTGCTGCCAACTGTGCTGGAGTAAATTGAAATTTTAAAAATTTTAATCTGTATGAGCAGTTGATTGGGAATCAGTGCCTTCCTGAACAGAGTACTGAGGATTTAATAGCATAGTTATATTATTAAGTTTAAAAGAAACAGTCACTATAGTCTTTACATTAGGTTGCAGAGCTTCTAATGGAATAGTAATGATAAATGCAGCACTTCATGGGGATTTACAGAGGTTTCAATCATAGAAGCAAAATCAGCACTACTAAAACAAAGATAAGTTCACGTTTAAGATAATTTTTAAAAAGTAATACAAGATATGAAACCCCATCTTATGTGTGGTTATATATGCACACACTTAAATATTTATGCAATCAGGAAATACGGAGTGAGATTTATTTTTTTCCCCCCAAGAATGTCCTGGCAAGATGATCAGAAAGGCCCCGATTCAGCAAGGTATTGAACTAGCTAAGTGTATGAGTAGTCTCATTAAAGTCAGCCAGATTCTTTGTGCTTTATGATTTGGATATAGACAGTTTCTCAGAGGATATGCTAACGCTTATAAACTAATAATAATATGTCAGAAATGGGTGTGGGTATGTGTGATCTCCTCTATCTACTTGCTGTCATTAAGAACTGCAAGCTAAGAGCCACTTTCTATTACTTCCTCCATAGGAGAAACACAAGTGTTAAACTCCCATCGCAAGTAGTTCTTTGGAAAAACTACCTGAGAGAGCATATTTGTGGAGACCTGCCCACAATGCAAATGTTTTGCCTGCATATTCTCAACAAGCGTCTCCTCCTGTTAATAATATTTCAGTCTGTCTTCATTGCAGCCCCCTGGAGATCCTGTATCTCACTGCACATTGTATATCCTCCCAGCAGGCATGAAAACAGCATCGCTATTGTCATTAGCAAATAATGTGCACTTGAGTAGCATAGGTGAAAGCAAGAGTGGTTTGACTCAGGCTTCTGGGAAATTTGAAATTTAAATATTCTTTAGATGGAAATATGCGTGCAGTGCACTTACCTACTCACATCTAACTATGGGGGAAAGAAAGCATTGGTCACTAATACGTTATAGCGGTTGTTTTAGAAAGTAAATTTGCGTGTGAACTCATTGCCCATATAGCAGATATTCTGAGTACTTAATAGCACAGTTATGCTGTTCTCTGAGTAAAAGTTACTTGAGTTATTATTGAGAAAAAGATCCTATAATGTTAATATTCCAAATGACTAAGTCAGGTAAATCTGTAATAGCAGTGCTAATTAAGAGAAAAGGAAAATACCTGGAAAAAAAACCAAGCTCATAATTTGAAGTTTGCTTTTCGTCAGACATGTATTCTACCCCTTTTCTGTAAAGCCCAAGTGATGGTATTGTTGCTTGCTCTCCTTCTCTCAGGTGCGTGTTGTTTGTTCTGCAGTGACTCCTCTCCAAAGCTTGTTCCTGGTAGAACACGACAATGGTGGGCTAGAGGACAACAGAGTGTTGATGGATGATTTGGACTTGAGCCAGGTACATGATATTAACATCGTCTCCCTTTTGTAACAAAATTGGTTTTGGTCTCATAATTACAGCAGCGTTTTAGGAAAACATTTAACTAGTGATTTGCTGCTTTTTCTGCAGTGTTATCTGTCGCTTTCGTAATTGCATGTTATTTATTCATCGTTAAAAAAAAGTCACAATGTATGGAACCATTTTGCGTAAGTTTTATGGTCATTTTGATTGTTAGTTGTAAAATCTGCTCAATCATATATGAAAATACTAATTTAAGTTTAGTTCCTGCGTTTAAAATAAAGAAAAAAAAAAAGGCTGTCTGTTCTACCTCTTCCTAGACTATATAGGACTGCCTCACAAATCCTCACAAACAGGACTATTTTGCATATTGCTTATTCTGTTTTTCCTTTTCCCTATAACCTAGTTATTGTTGATGAATTTTTTAAATGATCTGTCTAAATCAGTATACAATTAGTCAACAGAAAAGTGAAAATAGGTGGTTAACATGTCATCATGTTGTTTTAAATCCAAATTACTGTTTTTCTATGTTCCTTCACAAGATTACCTAGCTGAAGTAGGTGTTTTTCTTTAATTTTTGTACGTTCATTTTATTTCTTTGGTGCCAGACTGCTGTCTTGTATTATCAAAGCCTACAAAACACTCAGCCTTAGGAGTTAGACAGGATGCACTTCAGTACAGCTATGTCTCTCACAGTTATGTGGTACTGCTTTTGTGTTTTAATATAGGATTCTGCCAAAGGACTCTCCGTGTTTACAGGAGAAGAGGAGATCTTTGCCTTTCAGCGTACTGTCTCACGGCTTACAGAAATGCAAACTGAACAGTACTGGAAAGATGGGGACAGAAGCAAAAAAAGATTATAATTAAAAGTTGACTAAGATCATCAAGAAGTAAAACTACAGAATCGGAAAGCTTTTTTTTAGCACAACTGAAATAATAATTGCACTTTATCATCTGGACCATGTTTTCTTTCATCAGTTTTTTGTTGTTGTTGTTCTTAAGACACGAGTGAGTACTCATGAGTTGTTTTTCTTTACTACTAGTGTGTGGACATGTGAAATTTCGCCTTCATTTTCTTTTCTGTAAAATATAACTTTGATGTTCAGGAAGTTTAATGGGATTAGAATTTTTCTGGAGAATTGGTGTAGAGACAAAGTTAATGGGCCGTGCAGGGTTCACAGTAGATTTATAATGTCATGGGAAGAGGGCACTGTGTGGTTCGTGCACTGTGTCTGTCATGCACAATGCAGTTTGCACAAAACAAAAACCAAATGTTTTCTTAATGAAACTCCTGATATTGTATAGGTCCCTGCTAGAATCCTGGAACTCCTCTGTAGTGTATTCTGTTTTTATTTTCCTATTTTGTGTGTGTAGCCATCTGCTGACTTTCAAGCTCTAAGAGTTTCTTGTAATCAGACTGTTGCTCAGTCTGGTTCATTGAAAACTAGTGGTTTGAACCAAGAGAGAAGCCTGAGGAGGAGCTTGAAGGTGCTTGAAAGCACACAGGATTAAGATGTAAGTAATCACTGATGGGAAAAGAAACTACTGTAAGACAGGGTATACTGTAACATGCAAGTTCAAATTAATACTATTCCTAAATTTTGCAGTTTTTGCAAGCCTGGATATGCTGCCTCTATGCCAGTGACATATCTCTATCCTGAATTTTCTCAGGTTTCGTCTGTACCAAACCTTCCATCACTGCTAGCACACCTGCTTTGATCTGAAAAAAGCGGTACAGAGTACTGCTGAGGCAATTCATCATGTATGGAAAAGATGACATGTTAACTGATTCCCTAAAACATGTCACCCATCCTTGTGTTTGCAGTTGGAAACTTTCTTTTAGTTAAAAATTCAATTGTCTCATTCTCAGTTTTAATCTAACTGAAACAAAATATGGTATTGTGCATATTGGCTTATACTGTATTTTTATTAAAAGAAATTGAAAAGCATATTTAGAAACCATGAATAGGGAAAAATAATATCCAGACAATATAATATTGTCATAATATTCCCTATGAATAGGGAAAAATAATATCCAGATGGACTGAAAAGATTGCCCTAATTTCATAGAGAGGAGATACATAACACACTATCCCCAGATTGGAGGGATTTTCTTGGATTTTGCAACATGACCTTTTTCTTGTACTGTATCAAAAATGTTCTTCTCCGCTTTTTTTTTTTTTAATTTCAATTGTAACCCCTGTCACAACTACAGAGAGCTTTTAAAGGGGACTTGGGAGGCAGGGAAGTCTGGAGAGGTCCTGTGCACTTGCATGTGTTACGGCAATACAGGTGTTTTGGAGCCATTGCTCAAGTCTGGTTTTCTCTTTGTCCTGGAAGTTACTTACACTGGCTGTACCTGTTCTTCAAAAAATTTTTAAAGCCTGTGTTTATAGTTTACAACTTATGCAACTATGTTGTTATTCCCACAAGGGTGACTACCATGGAGAATTTTAATGCATATTCATGAAAACCCTGATCAGAATACATTGCTTATACATCAATTATTCAGATATTCTTAAGCATATTTTCAGAGATTTGTATTAGGTTTCTCAACAGAGGGACTATTGAGATTCATACATGTGTGTCTGTATATACACACACATATGTATACCTAATTTATACATATATATAAAAATACATAAAACTAATATATATTTTAAGTGTGTGTTGTTCTATATTTATGCACGGCAGTCTATACTCGTCAGCCTGGGCCTGTGCCGATAGCTCTCCTGAAGCTTCAGCCTTGACTTTTTTTCTAGTAGCATTCAAATGCCTCCTGCCTTCTCTGAACCAGAACGTATTGTGGGAAAATGGGAGGTGGTGGTAGGCACCCTAAAGCGCCTTTCATCTGGATGTTTATTTGCATTCTTTTAAAAGCTGTTTATACCACTGTCATGTGGTACAGGGGAAATGGATAATTTTGCAGAACACAGGTGAGATTTGGGACATGTGAGAGAGGAGGTCCTGGGAGGTTCTGCATTCTCACGGAGACTGTCTTGGCCCAGGGAAGTGAAGTGTTTCTCCACAGTCTGTGTGGGGCATGACCGACCTCATTTAACCAGGGGCTCCAACTGTTGCAGCTTCATCTGTCGATATTTGAGGCTTTTCTGCAATCTGAGCACCCATCTCAAACTCAGATAACCCAGGTTTTTGGAAGCTCCTAAATGTAATGGGACTCAGGTATCATTGAAAGCCTCCTGGGATGCAGGTGAGCTCTGTCAAACTACAGGAGGAAAGTTCCCAAAAGCTTCCAGAGCCAGCGCTGCTTCCAGGGCATATTCCTAAATAAAACCACAGTGCAGTCTTTCCTTGGCCAGCAAGGAGGCTGTCTGTTGGGAGTCATTGGTGGGCACCAGCAGTAATCAAGGAAGAAAAAATGAGGAATATTCCAGAAGGGTTTGGGCCTGAAAGAGGCTGTAAACAAAGGAAAGCCACTTAAATCACTGTGCAGTATTTGTGGTTGCACTGCAGAGTGTGGATTGCCACTTTTAGGTCAGGACCACAGAGAGAAATTGATGGGACCAATTTGTCAGCCAGGCCAGATGCCAGGGCAGAGATCCCCACAGTAACCACAGAAGAAGCATATTTATGTCTGTCCACTTCCCTGGAGAAAGTGAGGCCCTATATGCTTCTTTTACAATGCTGCTAATAATGCTGTACCACGCATAAAGTCTCTTTCCAAAAGAGAATTCGAGGGAGGCTTCTACTCAGGCCACATGACTTCCAGGGAACTGGTGCTGGCCAGAATCTGTCACTGGGGCACAATGGACAACGCTGGGTTATGTCCTGCCCCAGGGCGCTGGGTCACCTATGCTCCCAACAGTCCTGTCCTCTGCTGCTGGCCTGCTCCTCACTGCTTGTGAGACAGCAGCCGTCTGCGACGTCTTGTTCCCACATTAAGATGTTTTACTTGCCAAAATGTAAACAGTGAGATGCCTGTGAATAAATTATGCATACTCCTTAATGGCTGCTGGTTTTGGCTGGGGTAGAGCTGAAACCAGGACAAGGGCCTTAAAATTGCTGGATTTATGCTGGATCCTAAATTCAAGTATTGGCTGTTTAGGTTTTTTTTTTTTTAACTTGGCAAATTCATGTCATCTCAGGTGTGCAACGTGTTTTTACTTCCCTTTCAGTCATTCAGCAAACATTATGGCCAAGTTATTTTTAAAGGTCTTTTCCAGTAACCTTACTGATGTGGTATGATATTTTACTGTCGAAGTAAAATCCTTGTGATTATGGACCATGTGAAACATTTCATGTTGGTTTATAAAGGCCATGTCCTGACTGAGAATCTCTCAGCTAACTTGTTTCAAATATTCGATTGACAAAGGAATGTTCCCAGTGCCCGAAAATTTGAATTACAGCTTCTGTGAGCATAGTTACTCTATCCATACAGACATTTTATCTTTAAAGCTGTATTTTCATTTTGTGTTCTTGTGCAGCAGCTCTTACCTTTTTTTATAAATAATGCAATTCTGTCTTTCAACGCTGCTGGTTTTCTGTGTTTACCTTTGCACAGATTGAGGGAACAATTGCAGTATTTTGGGTATAACATGACAGCCTTCCAAAGGTTTTTGGAGGGACTGAAGATGCACTTTCTGCTGCTGTGACTTTTTGATCTAAAAAGGAAAAGCATTCATGGCTTTTGTTGATTAAAGGTGATCATAATGACACTATAGCTGGATAGATGTCACCTATTTTGCAGCAATTTAAACATGAAAAAAAAATGACCGTGTTTCAAACAGTGCTCAGGACAGTCACCAGCCATCTAACAAGGAGGAAGACTAATCTTTCCATCAAGTCCTCTCTAAGAGGATCAAGATCCAGGAAGGTTTTTTTCTGCAGTTACCTGGATCTGAATAATCCCAGTGCCTCAGTTTCCCTGTTGCTAAAATGGGAATGATGTTACTTTCTTATTTGCTAACACTGGAGTGCTGCCAGGCTTCACTCATTAATATTCTAAGATGCTCGCTGAGGCTCTCGGATGAAAATACTTCAGTAAAGTATGTAAACAGTGCAAAAAAATGATTTAACTACTCAAAGTGGATTAGTTTCCTTGTTTGGGTTCCAGAATTAATGCCATCAACTAAACACCACGTGCCTCTTTGTAGTATCAATTTTTTTGTGTGTGTGTAATGCATCTATTTTAAAGAAAATGAATTCTGAGGTTTGTGATTAAAATCCTAACCAATTCATGTAACTTTTCTTCTACCTGTAATGACAAATTTCCTATATGATTCATTACAAGCTTAGCTCCTCTGCTTGTGAACTACAGTGGATATGTAAATTCTATTGTGATTTTCCTTGTATTATATACTGAGAATTTTTTTTTAAAAGTACACCATTTTGAGTCTATAACAAACTGAACACTGTTAAATCCTTCTGTTATTTGAGAAGAATTTATGTTGTAATAAAGGAAAATTAATAAATCTAGATTTTAAAAACATTTCACTTATTATTCACTCTATTTTTAGGAATGTTGTTCTAAATAGATAGGCTTTCTGTTACTTAGTCAGATTTTTTTTTAAATCTCTGACTCCAGGGAGTAACCCTGGACTCACAGCACTGGCAGTTTCTGGGGACTCAGTTGCCTGAGTGAGCTGTAGCACCACAGGCCATTGCCCTACATGTGGCTCAGCTTTTGGTAGGTGTATCCAGGGCTTGTCAGAAAGGTCCTCCTCCAGAAGCACTTTAGACTTATCCTCCTCTGTTACTGCTGCCGTCAGCCCTAATTTTTGATTTTGGAACCCTTTTTTCTGCCTCTCTGACTTTTCTGTGGTAACTTGAGGGTGAGGTGCTCCAGCTGGGTGCAAACCACAATTAAAGTGCTCTGCTCTTCTGTTAATTTGGGATTCTTACT